GCACCCACCACTGCCTCTGCCACTGCTTCCTCCATCCTCCACCACCCATCACCCAGAACAATAAATCGGAGCAGTGGTGGTGTACACATTTAATCCCAGCACTTGGAGGCAGAGGCAGGAGGATCTCTGTAAATTCAAGGCCAGTTTGGTCTACAGAGTGAGTTCCAGGCCAGTCAGGGCTACACAAAGAAACCATCTCAATAAAGAAAAAAAAAAAAAAAAAAAAAAGAGTACAATAAAACACATATATAAACCCTACCCTTGGAGCCTCTGACTCACTAGTCTCTCATAGGACCCAAGAGTTTGTTCTCCTAACAAGTTTTTCAGGTAATGCTGCTGGTCAAGAATGACTTCAGATCTATGTAATCCTTCACAGATTCTCCAGGCCTCTGTCACATTGGTAAACGTCAGCTATGAGAATTTAGGCAGTCTTCTGATTTCAAATGGTACTAGAGCTAGTAAGTTCTGGAAGTAGGGGAAGGAACTAGGAACTGGCACAATGGCTGCAGAATGGAAGAAAGGAGGAAACCATTGCTCAGAATAAAATAATGAATCCAGGTGAACATGCAGCCAACTAACTACACCCCAGCCTGTTTGGTTTTGAACCCTCACAAGGTCTAAAGTAGCTCAAGTTGGCCTTGAATTTATTATGTAACCAAGGATGACCTTGAATTTTCAGATTCTCTTGCCTCCACCCCCCAGTGTTGGGAGCCACCACACCCAGCCATTACTGACAAACCTTAGCATCACTAAAGGTGAGACAGTTGCACAGTTTCCCTCTTGATGTGATGATGGCTTGGAAGTACAGAAGAGCTAAGAATTCTTGTCCAAAAAATTAGAATAGCTGGGCAGTGGTGACACACACCTTTAATCCCAGCACTCAGGAGGCAGAGACAGTAGGATCTATGTGAGTTTGAGGCCAGCCTGATCTACAAGAGCTAGCTCTAGGATAGCTAGGGCTATACAGAGAAACCCTGTCTCTAAATAAATAAATAAAATTACTTAAGAGCCTACCTTAAACAGAATATTCGGTCCTTATTTGTATCCTTTTGTTGTTACTGCTTCATTAAGACAGGGCAACCCAGGCTCTCTTGGAACTTACTATGTAGTTTAGCCTCAAATTTAGCCTACCCTCAACTTCTTGGAAATCCCCTTGCCAGAGTTTTGGGATTATAGCATAAGCCACTAAACCCACATGTAGCCTTTTGTTATTATTTTAATTATATACCTGTGTGCCTATCTTGTGAGGGTATGTGCGTGTGAGTGAGGCTGCCTTTAGAGGCCAGAAGTGTTAGGTACCTTCTGCAGCTAGAGTCACAGAGGGCTGTGAAGCTGCCTGATGTGGGCACTGGGACTTGAACTCTTCCTCTGGAAGAGCAGTATGTGCTCTCTTTTGTGGCTTTGTTTTATCTTTTGTATGCTTTTGTTTTTTGAGACAGGGTTTCTATGAGTAGAAACTGGCTGCCCTGGAACTAGCTTTGTAGCCAGGCTGGCCTCAAACTCAAAGATTCCACCTGCCTTGAGTGCTGGGATTAAAGGTGTGTGCCACCACTTGGGAGATGGGATTGCTGAGAATTGGAGCATACTAAGTATGCTCTTTACTACTGAGCTGAATCCGCAACTGGATTTTCTAGATATTTTATATTTTTCATTGATTTCTTTCTGCAGTGAAGAGTAGTACTGGTAGGATATATTGTAGAATATTTCTTAGGATGTGTCAGGTCCCAAAGTGCTAGGCTCTTCCTAGCACTTATCACAGGGCTCCCCAACCTAAACCTCTCCAGTCCAGGGCTTCCCCTCCCCCAGCTTCTGAGTCCTATATAATCCAACCATTCTGGCCAAGAGCTTTCTTTGCTCCTAACTGGCTTCCTCTTTGCCTCTTTGCCCTCTTGGCTTCTTCCCATGTGATTCTAAGGAAATGTGTAGTCTCCTCTGGAGAATACCTTTCTGCTTCATTTTCTGTGGGGCAAGGAGTGGCATGAGCTCCTGTTTAGCATTTGGTAGGCATAGCAACAGTTTCTACCACCCTTGGAATTCAACTATAGGCATTATTTTTCCTATTAAATCCCAGAGCAAACAATGTTTGCCTATAAAGAGATAAAGACCATAGTCTGTGGTCTTCCTCACTCCCCAGTGGGACCTGCCAACACTCATGAGCCAGGGCTTAGGAAAGAACTGGTCGTTGGGCACTGGTCAGGGGGATTGCCATGTCCCACAGCTCACCTTGGTTCCTTTCCTGTGGGGAGACACCTCAATTCTGAAGAAACTGATGTAACTGCTTCCCGGGACACTGGAAATTGGCATCAAGTGTCCTGCTACTGTGCGCAGTAGTTTGTGTATGTATGCCTGCCCACATGTATGCACATCCTATGTGTGACTGGTGTCTGAAGAGGAGGTCAGAGGATGTCAAATCCCTTGGAACTCGAGTTATAGATGGTTGTAAGCCATCGAGTGGGATTTGGGCATCAAACCAGGGTCTGCTGCAAGAGGAAAATGTGCCTAACCACTGAGCCATTTCTCTCCTCCCAATTTTTACCATTTAGTGGAGTAAGGAGATGCTATGATCCAACTTCAACCTGTCTATAATATGAGGCTGCCACTACCCCTTCCTCTCTTACCCATGTGAGAGCATGTTCTTCCCCTGAGGCAGATAGAGCTGCCTCTGGTTCTGTCCTGAGACAGGAACTCCAGGGACAGCTGCTTCTGTTAGGTCAACATTTCCTGTTAATTCAATTAGTTTCCCTCCAAGCAGTGCATTTACAGAAGGAAGGGAACTTTTGCAGGCATGCATTTGTACAGGCAGCCATCCTCCTCCAGTCTCTCTCTCTCTCTCTCTCTCTCTCTCTCTCTCTCTCTCTCTCTCACACACACACACACACACACACACACACACACACACACACACGAACAACACACTTTCTCCTCATCCACCCACAAAGCGTCAGTCACATTTAGAATTTGCACAAATGCACACCCTCTCACCCACCTACACATCTCTTCCACAAATTCACACCTGCTCACATACCCCTAGAAGCACATTCCTATGCTATGCTGGGGGGAGGGGAGCAGACTGAGTGGGTTATAAGAACTCAGGAACTAGCCACCCTTGTATAGGAGGGGAAAAAGCAGATCAGAACTCTATAGTTTTCTCCCTGCCACTTTGGCCCTGTAAGTAGAAATACTGAGAGCCAGGAGGGATATTGAAGTGAAATTAGGGAGAAAACATGGAGTCAGGGCTCCCTGTCCTTCAGGGAAAGTGTGTTCCCTGGCAGGATTGTAATGACTCAGGCTTGCAGCTAGGATGATTTTTTTTTTTTTTTTTGGTAAGTAGATAATAAAGCCACATCCATGACTTGCTGAAGAAGACAGTTTGGCTAGAATTCCGTATCAGCTCAGGAATGAAGGAAAGGAAGTAGAGCTGAGTTTGGCCTCTAGATTAACATTCTCCAGGAAGACTTTTTCTTTCTAATGTCAGCTGAAGTCTCTTGCTGGAGACTCCCTCTTGAAGTCGCCTCTAGAGAAGGTGTCGGCCCCTCAGCCATTGTGGCTTCCACTCCAGACTGTCTGCCACTCAAAATTCCAAAGCAATGGATTCTGGAAAAGAGCAGGTTTGTGTGGGTTTTAGTTTTCTTTCCTTTCTTCCTTCAGGAAAGTGTCCCGGAGCCATCTAAGATTTCCCAAGGAAATTGGCAGAGGGTTCAGCAGAAGTTAGGCCCCTGCTATCCAACTGTTGATGTATCTTCCTGTGCTGCCGCCTGGGGGCGCCTCCCGCTGGGTCTGAGATTGCCGCCAGCACTGCTGTTATCATTAAGATAATTAATTAATAAACAAGCACTGATGGGGCCAAGTGGAGGAAGAGGGAGGCGCCTGCTGCTCAGAAGGAGAATCCCTGGAAAGATCCGACGAGAGTGCCTTCTGGGACGTCTCACTGGTTAATTCCTTCTCCCCATCCCAGGACCTCTGCAAAGGGCCTTGTGGGTCCGCCTCTAGGGGGCAAGCAGAGGTGAGGACAAGCGTAGATAGGACTTGGCAGGTGTGATTTGGAACCAGTTCTGCATCTTCCTGACAGGATGTCTGTAGGCAGAGCCACCTCCAGTGATTACTGGTAGTGGAACAGGCAATTATTCATCCCTTTAACAAGTATCTGCCTATTTTTTTATGGGGTGCCTACCGTGCGCAAGGTATTCTACCATCATAGCAGATGTTCCACTGGCTAGTATGAAGACAATGCCAGTGTTCACGCTATGTCCTAGAAACTGCGGGGTAGAAAAAGGAAGCACGTGGGAAGAATGACAGCCCTCAAATAAACGGTGTTTTGGCTTTGGCCTGTGTCGGGTAGTCGTGGGGATAGAGATCTGACAGTTGTTAAAGATTGACCTTGGAAAACTCTAGACTACGACAAACTGGAAAACATCCTGGGAAGGTGGGCAGGAGCAAATGGTCTTTCTGATAGAATACTTGGCGATAAAAGGTATGCTACAGAGAACGAATAAAGAGGAAATTGGGTGAAAAGCTCAACGAAAGAGGTACTAGCAGATCTTGGTGGCGAGCTGCCACAGCCGTCTTGGAGCACGAGGGGTTTCGGTGTCTAGTGGGTGCTTTATGTTCTGCGAGGGCTGCGCGGGGTTCTGAGGTCAGGATCTAGAACAGTGTTGGGGTGTGGCAGGGGCTTCCAGAGCGGTTCTGAGGCGAGGATGCGGGGCGCCGCGCTGGAGACTGGAAAGTATTTGGGGAAAAGGAGGGGCGTGGCCGGGTGCCTGTCCAGAGAGCCAGGCAGGTCGTCCGCAGCGGCAGCGGAGTGGCCGGGGCGCGGGTCTGGCTGCACCGCCTGGAGGTGGGCGGGAGGTCGGGCTGCAGCGGCCGAGGTTAGCGCTCGGCTCTCGCCACCGGGGCTGCGCGCGGGGCGGGGGGGGGGCGGCACGAGCTCCGCGGAGGGCGGGCCGGGAGGAGGCGGCGGCTCGCAGGAGAACATGAATCAGCGGCGGCGGCGGCGGCGGCGGCTGTGGAAGGAGCGCGGTGGCCCAGCCGCGGCCCCGGGGACTCCTCGCTGCTGACGGCGGTGGCGGCGGCTCGAGGCGGCCGCGGGTCCGGGACGCCCCGACCGAGCGCCGCCCCCCGCCCCTCCCGCGGGCCTCCCGCCCCTCCTCTGCCGCCCTCCTCTCGGCGCTCGCGGGCCGGGCCCGGCATGGTGCGGCGTCGCCGCCGATGGCGCTGAGGCGGAGCATGGGGCGGCCGGGGCTCCCGCCGCTGCTGCTGGCCGGGCTGGCCTCTCTGCTGTTCCCCGAGTCCGCGGCCGCAGGTAAGGGTGGCCCGGGAGGCGGCGGGAAGCGGGGGGCTGCTGAGCGGCACGGCTGAGAGGCGCAGCCCAGGGACGGCAGCGGGAGAGACCCGGGCCTGGGCCGGCCAGAGGTTGGGGTCGGTGGCCGGGGCTGGAAGGCCGAGGCTAGGACGCAGCGGGTGTTGGCTGCCAGACCTCCGGCCGCGGCCCCCGCCCCCAACTTTCTTGCGCCCGGGGCTGGCTCCGTGCAAAGGAAGGGAGTGGGGGGTGTGGGCAGCCGGGGGTGCTTAGGACTGTATTTTCCCGCCTCTATCTTTCTAGTTGTTTGCTCCCTTTGCCCCGGTCCTGCGGATTCATTCTGCCTTCCGCACACCCCCGAAGGTTCCACTCTGAAACTACAGGGTCTAGGTTTGAGCACCCAGGGCTGTGAAGGTGCCGGATTCTAAAATACCTCTGACCGTACTCTAGTTCCTGTGGCCCTTAGCGCTCCCGGAAACCCGAATGTCGAAGAGCTTGGACTGGGTGAAGGTTACTGGTCCTTGTCAGGATTAGCTTTATGTTGCCACATAGCCTCTGAGACATTTCCCCGAGGCGGGAGGACAGTACCTTTGTCCGCAAGTTCACACTGTTCACATCTGGAACTACTGGGTGTAGAGGGGTGTAAGGCTATTTCTCCTTGTTCTGTGAGGGTGAAAGGAGTAGGGTAGAGGCAGGGGCCAGGGCAGCAGCCACCCAGTTGGCATTTCTTAAAACTGAGTTCTTTGCTATATCAGTCTCTCAAGGAGGGGAAGAGAAAGATAGTGGAAAGTATCTACAGGCTTTGAGGTGTGTATCTGATGCTCAGAGAGCCCAGGAATTTACCCAAGGTTGCACAGTAAAGCGCTGGAAGAGTCAGGTCTGGATTTCATTTATGCAGACACCTCACCTGCCTGTCTGTTTAAAATCATTTGAGGAGGGAGTGTGTGTGTGTGTGTCTGTGTGTGTGTGTGTGTGTGTGTGTGTGTGTATCTGTGTCCCCGCCCTTGCCTGAGGAGGGTAAGATTCCAATAGGTGGGTCTTGTTGATGCCACAATAGCTCAGGGGTCTTAGGCTCCTGCTTAGGGCCCCGCCCCTCCCTTCTGCCTCCCATTTTCCTAGCACCCGCCCCTGCACACATTCAGTCAGGTATTAATAGAGCAGGAGGCTGCCAGGAAGGCTGCCATGTGTTTGATCTGACGTGGTTTTGTAGCCATATGTTCTCCACTTCAGGGGAGCACTCCCTCCTTCTCTTCCTCGGCCTCCCTCCATTTGGCAGGGTGGGGTGCAGGGGTACCCGGGTACTGGCAGTAGTTCAGGGGCTTAACTGACACCCTGGGCAGAGAGCTAGCAGCCTGTTGCACTGGTTGGGTAGAGCAGTCATTCCCAGGACAGTGCCTGCTCCAGGAGGTGACAAGTCTCCACCTGTTGCAGCTATGGGGTAAGTGGTCCTTAGTGCTGAAGGAACTGGGCAGTGACAGAAAACTAGAGGTCTTGGCATGCCCTTTCCCCAACCTGGTTCAGGCCACCTTCCTTCTAATAGAATCCTGTCTCTGCTTCCTTGGCACTGGTTGAGAATGAGCCCTCTAGCATAGAAACTGCTTTCTAGTAGAGAGTGGGAGATGTTCCAGAGACAGGGGCTATCTCAGACTGACACATTGTCTTTCCCACCTCTCAGGCCTGAAGCTCATGGGAGCCCCAGTGAAGATGACGGTCTCTCAGGGGCAGCCAGTGAAGATCAACTGCAGTGTGGAGGGAATGGAGGACCCTGACATACACTGGATGAAGGATGGGGCTGTGGTCCAGAATGCAAGTCAGGTGTCCATCTCAATAAGCGAGCAGTACTGGATTGGCTTGCTCAGGTGCAGGACTGTGGTGTGGGATGACAGCGGGGGACAGACCTGTGCCCATTTCATAAGGGCCTGGGAACTGAGGCAGTGCTGATGTCTAGAGGTCTGTGGTTTTAAAATTTGGCAAACTGTGGAACTTTCTAGAACCTGGCCATGATAAAACCCAATTAAGTTTGCCCTGCAGAGTTGCCCACACCCTTTTTTGAAGTCAGGGTCTCATGTAGCTCTAGCTGGCTTGGAGCTCACATTCTCTCTTTGTATAGATGAGTCTAGCCTCAGACTCACAAGTCCACTTGCTTCAGCCTCTAGGGTGCTGGGATTAAAGGATCTGCCTCTCTTGATTCTTAGCAGTAAGTCTGATCTGCTGTCTCCACAGCCTGAAGTCAGTGGAGCGGTCTGATGCTGGCCTGTACTGGTGCCAGGTGAAGGATGGGGCAGAAACCAAGACCTCTCAGTCAGTGTGGCTCACTGTGGAAGGTGAGGAGGCCGTACTAGCTGTATGGGCTAAGAACTGACCTTCTACAGAAGAGAACTCAGTACTAGCTGGACTGACCTACTGTCTCCTATGGCCTAGGCTCTAGGCCAGTGGTTCTCAGCCTACCCAATGCTGTGGTGCCCCAACCATAAAATTATTTTCATTGCTACTTCATGACTGTAATTTTGCTACAGATATTAATCATAATGTAAATAGTTTTGGAAGTAGTTGCCAAAGGGATCGTGACCCACATGTTGAGAGCCACTGCTCAAGGCTCATCCAGACATCAGGGACTGACTCTACCTTCTGGAGTCTGGGTGTCTGAGAACCGAGGAGGCCAGTAGGACTCACAATCTCTGTCCAGTTTGTTTCAGCCTTCTGAGCAACATTAACTGTCAAGCATTCATCAGAAGCTGGCCCTTGTTCTGCCAAGAGGACCTACCAAAGGGGGGAGGGGTGGGGGAGGGGGAGGAGGCTCCACAGCTGCTGGAGCTCAGAGCTGTTCAGCCCTGGAAAACAAAGTGACTAAGAAAGTAACAAAGGGCCCTGAACAGGAGCTGGGGCCTGCCAGCAGAACTCTGCTAAAGCTCCTACCCACTCCCCTCCCAGGGTCTCCTCCCCCCACCTCCCCAGCCCAGCCTCTCCAGTACTCTGAGAAGGGCTGTCAGCAGGCCTGGGAAGGGACTGTGGGGGCTGGCAGCAGAATCTGCCTTGCCTAAGGGGGCTGCAGAAAAGGAAGATGACACGTGGGAAAACCCACGCTGTCCCCTCCCCACACTTGATGCCTATTTGTGGTTGACCCAATCCTAAGGGTCCTGTGGTGCTGGCCATACAGAGCACTTCAAATGGAAATGAACTTGTGATTTGAGCGGTGGGAAGCTAAGAGGTGGCTGGGCTAACTCCCCCTCCTTTTTTTCTCCCTAGGTGTGCCATTCTTCACCGTGGAACCAAAAGATGTGGCAGTGCCTCCCAACACCCCTTTTCAACTGTCTTGTGAGGCCGTGGGTCCTCCAGAACCTGTAACCATTTTCTGGTGGAGGGGACCTACTAAGGTTGGGGGGCCTACCCCCTCTCCCTCTATTTTAAATGTGACAGGTGAGTAGCTGATGGAGGGAGCTTTGAGCCGAGAGTGAGCTGGGTCACTGCCTGGAGGGAAGCACGTTAGAGATGGGATCTGCATAAATCTAAATTTGTTGTTTGAGCATCCAGAGCAAATCCCAGTGTCAGAGTTCGTGAGCCATGCCGTTGCTAAGCTCCTTAGTCAGGTGTGCTGTGCTGGCTAGGTGGGCTGATGAGGTGTGATCCTGCTGTGTGTGCTTACTGAGGGTGCTGGGACCTCCTTTCCTCTCCCACAGCAGTCTGGTCCTTGCACAGCTGGCCCTGAGAGAGGAATTATGTGAGATCAGGGGCACCCCCTTCCCCCCCTCCCCAGGGAAGGAGCCAGAAACCAGCCCACGCAGAGCTAGGGAGGAGTGTCTGGCAAAGTGGGAGAAGACAGCTCAGGCTACAGAAAGGGGAGTGGGGGAGGGTAAAGGGGAGAGGGAGGCCAGCATAAAGCACATAGGGAGGACCTCCTCACGGGATGGTCTTTTCTAGAAAAATTCCCAATCTGTTCATATCCCTATACAGTTATATCCCAAAGCAGTCACACTTGCACGCTCTCCCAGACCCTCAAGATCCTAGGCATATACATCACATGCTTGTGAGACTTGTCAGTCCATGAAACTAACTGTGCTTAGTTGAGGATTGAACTGTGTGAAATAGACGAGTCTGAGCTTGAAAGGGGAGTTCCTGGGGATTTGAATCTTGATGGAGGGACTGTAGGACCTGCTGGTGCCAGGGCAGGACCTGTTCAGAGAGAAGGCTGGGTTTGCAGCTTCCAGCTTCCCTCTAGATGTGCGTGGTTAGGACCCTCAGGCAGCCAGCCCTGTAATAATAAGCACTCAATGGAACTCCTGAACTCCTACTGCATACACCACACTGTGCTGGGCACCATAGGGAATGGAAGAAAAACAAAAGGCTGGAAGCCACTTTTCCAGCCTCCAAAGAATTGAGGATGGTTGGGTAGACAAGACACATGCATGAGGAGCTAAGTCTTACAAAGCCAAGGAGTTCCAAATGTGACAGTGACAGGGCAGAGAACAAACAAAAGGGCTCTGGTATGCACAATCAGGGAGTTGCCAGAGGAGGGAGGTTCCCTGTGCTGTTTGCAGGAGATGAGATTGAGGTGGGAGGCACGGCTATAAAATTGCCCTGAGCTCTCACTGTGTACTGTGCACTTTAAATCAATTACCTGATTCTTAAATTCTCCCATTCGACAGATGGGGAAACAGAACACTATCCAAGCCTTTTAGACTCCAAAGTCCTTGTTTCAGTCTACCATACATACCCTGCTCCCGGCTCCTCTCTTTGTCTAGAGGACTTCTAATGTTCTGGGGAGAGCCTGAATTGAAGTCCCCTCTTCCTAAACTCACTCACTCAGTGGGGGTTGCTGCTTCGGGGACTGACTAAGGTTTTCTGGCCCCAGGAGTGACCCAGCGCACCGAGTTTTCTTGTGAAGCTCACAACATAAAAGGCTTGGCCACTTCCCGACCAGCCATTGTTCGTCTTCAAGGTAGGGGGACACTGGCAGGGATGGGGGTGGGGTGAGGAGGATGGGGGCTATCTCAGCCAGCTGTCTAACAGAATTGACTGGCTTGCCAGCTTGCATCAACTCTGCAGGAATCTCCAGGTGAGGGGTAATTGGTGTAGCTCCCATTCCTAGTGGGAGCACCTGAGACCCTGCCACAGCAGAGACAAAAATAGAATCCTGACGTCACAGCAGATTTCCCATCACGAAGCAGAGTCCCTGAGAGGGAGGGAAGGATGGAGCCAGCAGGAGATGGTCAAGGCTTTTATTCAACCTTGTTTCTGTCTCTGGTATTGAGGGAAAGGGGGTGGGGGCAGCAGCCTAGCAGATGACAGGGGGCACCCAAAGTGTTGGTGCAGAGGGGGAGGAGAGAAGGAGAGAAGCCAGTCAGTATGCAAAGGTACTTATCCCTAGAGGCAGGGCAGCTGCCTGTTTCCACTTTTGTAGCTCCAGAGCACCCTTCCCCCACCTTATTCTTTGGGCAGGGTTCTCTATTCCAGTAGGCAGTTTCTACACACACCCCCCCCCCCAGGCTAGGCACTCTCCCAGGTATGAATAACAGTGTTCTACTGGCAACTGGTTTATGCATCCCTATGCCTTGGATATGCTGACTTAGCCATCTTTAGGGGGTACTTCAGGCCCCAGGACAAATTCAAGGCGTGACTTATGCCGTCGTCCATCCCCTCATGTTTTTATTGGGCACTGACCTTCCGTTCCTGTTCGCAGCACCTCCTGCAGCCCCCTTCAACGTCACAGTGACGACAATCAACAGCCGCAACGCTAGTGTGGCCTGGGTGCCAGGTGCTGATGGTTTAGCCCTGCTGCATTCCTGTACAGTGCAGGTAGGCTGAGACAAGCAGGCAGGCTCTCACTGACTAACAATTGGCATTCTGGCTGCACTGCCTGAGACTCTGGGTCTGCAGCACTATTCAGATGTTGTTCTTTGGTAGGAGGAGCCCAGGCTATTGTCTCTTCTGCCCTTTCTGTCCCGTGTCCCTTCTCTTAGTAACAGAGGGGCTCAAAGACTGTGCCTTCTTTGTGCTAGAAAGCAGGTCCAGATCAGACTTGGGTATCTGGAAAATTCTTTTCTTTTGTTTTTGGAGATAGGTTTCCTCTGTGTAACTCTGGCTGTCCTAGAACTTGCTCTGTAGACCAGGCTGGTCCCAAACTCACAGAGATCCATCTGCTTCTGCCTCCCAAGTACTGGGTGGCATGCGCCACCAATCCCTGGCTGGAAGATTATTCTTTCAATTTATTCCCCCCTTTCAGTGCTAGGGATCAAAACTGGGCCTCTGATATACTAGGTAAGCTTGAAGAGTTTTTCTGTTAACATAGCTGATGTGCTTCCTCATATCCTGCCACTGCCCCTCAAGAGAACAAGAGGACCAGAGGGGTCCTGAACCCTGGTGAATAGAAAAGGTGGGCAGGGTTGGTACACAACTAAGAACTACTGCAAGTTTGCTTGCTTTCATATTTACTCAAAGGAGACCCTTGTTTAATGAGACTCTTTCCATCCATCCATTTTTCCTGTGCTGGGGACAAACCCAGGGCCCTTTACATGCTAGACAAATACTCTATGTATTCCCAATCCTTAGTGAGAAACTTTGAAACTCTTTTAATCATGTCTCCAAGGCAGGATGGACCCTCCCCTGGCTTCACCTTGGCCACAGCCCTTTGTCCCTGGGCAGAGTCTGCAGGGCCAAGGAGACAAGCTTATCTGGTTCATCCTTACTACTACATAAATTCAGAATGTCTTGCCCTGGCTACCCTGAGTCCAGGGTCTGTGTGGGCTTCTCCTCTGGCCTATTCTTCCAAAGACAGACCTTGCTGTGATGTGTGTATATCTGTGTCTAATGTCAGCCATTGGGGATAAATGGGTGGTAGCAGCCAGTGTTGTCCACATCCATGCATTAGAAGGATGTCATGGTGTAGACTCATTCCTGAGGCCCAGCTCTTTAGGGCTACCACCCTTGAGAATTTGGAGAATTATAAGTGGAAACCCAACTTTCCAGGTGGTTTGAATATTTGCTTGTCAAGATAGCAACATAGGGCCAGGCATGGTGTTACACACCTATAATCAGAAGTTCAAGGCCAGCCTGGGCTATGTAAGACTTTGCCCCTGTCCCCCAAAAAGATGGAGGAGAATGGGGGAATGCTTGGAGATGTAGCTCAGTTGGTAGAGTGCTTGCCTAGCATATAGGAATCCCATCCCTAGCAACACCTAAAATCAGGCATTGTGTCACACACTTCTAATCCCAGCAATCAGGGGTTCAAGGATAGTCTCTTTTTACTTATTTGTTTTGGGTGGGTTTTGTTGTTGTTGTTTGTTTGTTTTTTGTTTTTGTTTTTGGAGACAGGGTTTCTCTGTTTTTGGAGGCTGTCCTGGAACTTGCTTTGTATACCAGGCTGGCCTTGAACTTACAGAGATCCACCTGCCTCTGCCTTCCAAGTGCTGGGATCCCAGGCATGAGCCAACACCACCCAGCTAAAGGATATTCTTGGCTATACAATGAATTCAGGGCTAGCTTCAGCTTCAGCTATTTGAGGCCTTCTTAGAGGAAACGGTGGAGGGAGCAAGAGATAATGACAAGAAACTAGGCTAGGGATATATATAGTACAATGAAATGCCACTAGTTTGACATACATAAGGCCGCACCTTTGATCCCCAACATGTCTAAAGAAGTAATAGATGTATTGGGTGATTTTTAATGTTTAAGTATTGAACTATATTGTATGTGAAGTGTCTGTGTGTGTAGGAATGCCAGGGATTGAACTCGGGTGTTTTTAAATGTTAAGTGACTATTCTACCGAGTTGTGACTTAGGCACACACATAGGCCTTTGTGTAAATGAGAAGCTGGTTCACAGAGCACTCTGCTCCCCACTTTTCACTCGAAAGGCTCTGAGCTTTGGGTTGGTGAGTAATCAGAGAGAGCAGTACTCTGGAACAGTTAAGCACTAAGTACAAATAGGCGGAGTTTTTTGGAGTTGCTGAGACTTCAAGAAAGTGACACTAGCCAGACATAATGGTGTATGCCTTAAATCTCAGCACTGGGGGAGGCTGAGGCAGGCAGACCTTTCAGTTCAAGGCCATCCTGGCCTACAGAGTAATTCTTGTTTGTTTTTGAGGCAGGATTTCTCTGTATACTTTGGAGCCTGTCCTGGAACTTGCTCTGTAGACCAGGCTGGCTTTGAACTCACAGAGATCCGCCTCCTGAGTGCTGGGGCTAAAAGCTGCACCACCAATGCCCAGCTCAGAGTGATTTTTAAAACAACCAGAGCTAAATAGTGAGACCCTGTCTCAAAAACAACAAAGGGGACACTTGTCCTGACTCCCACTCCTTCTTCCTGGGTATTGGACTCAGGACCTTGCCCATGAGCACTCATCTCTGAATAAGTAGGACTTCTCAAGCAAAAGCAGCAGCATCTGTGAAATACAGAGGTTAAACCTGGTTTGGTCTTGTGCTGGGGACAAGTTGGGGCAGGTTTTTGCTGACATACTTAGAGAAAACATCTGTTCAAGCTTCTATGCCATGCCTACCCTGTCTTCCATCTCAGAGACTTACCTGATATCATCAGTTTTGTGTCTTTATGTCTTGTTTCCTTTTTTTCTAAAGGTGGCACGGGCCCCGGGAGACTGGGAGGCCCTGGCTGTTGTGGTCCCTGTGCCGCCCTTTACCTGCCTGCTTCGGGACTTGGCCCCTGCCACCAACTACAGCCTTAGGGTGCGCTGTGCCAACGCCTTGGGGCCTTCCCCCTATGCTGACTGGGTGCCCTTTCAGACAAAGGGCCTAGGTAAGAAACTCAGCGAGAGAGGAGAGACTGGAGAGGGAAGCATCATTCAGTCAGTGCTTACTGAGCATGCACTGCATGCTACTACACACCACTTTGCTTATGGGAGGAACAGATAGGTAAGCAAGTTGGAAATGGTGGGACAGTACTCCAGGGTGGCCAATCAGAATCCTCTAAAGAGGGTTAGAATACAGCTCTGTGGTGGATCCCTTGAACTAGCATTCGGGAGGGGCTAAGTTCAATTCCCAGTACCTCTAAAAATAAAAATCCTCCCGGGATGGCCAGACTTCTGACATTGTGACACAAGATCATCTGTAAAGTTCAAACTGGAGAACCACAGGATTTAGGTAAAAAAGAAAGCTCATGTTTTAAATGCATTTATGATTTTGTTCATTCATAAGGCCCCTAGGCTCTGGGTTGGAAAGGCCTGGGCAACAGAGGCATGAGTGAGGTCTGCAGGATATCATTTTGTGGAAAAGTACAGCAAGGAAAAGACACAGAGCAAGTCAAAGAACACTGCCTTGGAATTTGCTTGTAGCTCTCTGGCTGTTAAAAGAGGCTGGGTGGGGGGAAGACCAAGCAGTACCAGGGTGATGAAGGGAACACTGTAGAGATGTGGGGGCTGGGCCCCTTCTGTCCTGTGCAGGCTGCCCTCTCCCCAGTGCAGGGGATGTTAGTAGTGGCAGCTGGCAGGCAAGCCCTTTTCTCACCCTCTGCTTTCTGAGCTGTGAAGCTCATAGGTTAATGATGGTGGCAAAAGTAGGGATCCTAACAACTTTCTTTGGGTACAGCACCAGCCAGAGCTCCCCAGAATCTCCATGCCCTTCGTACCGACTCAGGCCTTATCCTGGAATGGGAGGAAGTGATCCCTGAGGACCCTGGGGAAGCCCCCCTGGGACCTTACAAAGTGTCCTGGGTCCAAGAAAACGGAACCCAGGTAAGGAAGTTAGCCCTTTCTGCTTGCTTTACAATGCTGGAGGGTCTGACCCTCCTATAGTTCCAGGGAATATCCTCCACATCCTGTTAAGACCAACTTTCTTTCTCATTGGCTGGGATAGCCCTGTGGCCACTTTGTATGCAAAGCAGGAAACCTATGCCGGCCCCTACAAAAGGGGGAGGGGGGGACCTGGAGCACAGATAAAGCTTTGTCAGCTGCCCCAGCTCTACTTCCCCTCCTTCTCCTGAGGGGTGTTTGTGTTCCCTGTAGTCCAGGGCAGGAATGTGACTCTCATGGAGCTCTGTTCTACAGTCCCTATCACCCACTGTGCCCCAAAGGTTCCCAGATTCCTAGCTGAACTCTTTTCTGTCCTCCCTTCCCAGCTGGAGGCTTCCCCAGGCTCAGTGTGGGGGTGGGGCTTTTCCTGACTGCAGGATGAGCTGATGGTGGAAGGAACCAGGGCCAATGTGACCGGCTGGGATCCCCAGAAGGACCTGATTTTGCGTGTGTGTGTCTTCAATGCAGTTGGCTGTGGGCCCTGGAGTCAGCCACTGGTAGTGTCTTCTCATGACCATGCAGGTAAGGCATGCAGGTGGGGTAGGGGGCATCAAGGCTTGCAAGGATAACAGACTGATAAGAGGAGGCAGGTGACACCTGTCTTCCCAGGACACTTTGGTATCAGCCTGGCTCATGACATTGCCTTGTCCTCCCACAGGAAGGCAGGGCCCTCCCCACAGCCGCACATCCTGGGTGCCTGTGGTTCTGGGTGTGCTCACCGCCCTGATCACGGCTGCTGCCTTGGCCCTCATCCTGCTTCGAAAGAGACGGAAGGAGACACGGTTTGGGTAAGGAAGTGGGACTGTGGAGAAGGAGGTAGTTGGTGACACAAGGCCTTGTAATTTACCTGAAGTCCTGGATCTCTCTTTAGGCAAGCCTTTGACAGTGTCATGGCCCGGGGGGAACCAGCTGTACACTTTCGGGCAGCTCGGTCTTTCAATCGAGAAAGGCCTGAACGCATCGAGGCCACACGTAAGTGGTGGTGGATCATAGAAGGGAGAAAACAGGCTGTCTTGTGATGCTACCTTTTACCAACTTATTAATCCAACTAAAGCATCTGAGCCTTGATGAGCCCCGGAGTAATGAAAAAGACACCAAATTACCTGGTGGAGCGTATCACCACAATGTGGGTGATCCAGGCCCTGTGCTGAGGACAGGGAGCTGGGTGGAGGTGGCAGGCTGGAGTGTGGATTTGACTACAGCTCTGTCCCTTTCTCACCTCTTTGCTGCAGTGGATAGCCTGGGCATCAGTGATGAGTTAAAGGACAAGCTGGAGGACGTCCTCATCCCAGAGCAGCAGTTCACCCTTGGCCGGATGTTGGGCAAAGGTGTGGGGGCTCTGTGGCGACTGGCATGAGTTTGCCCTCTCTGAATGTGTTGTTCCTGTCACTTCCAGGGTGTTGATTTGGGTCAGCTCCTATAAACAAGATATACCTATGGATGCCTGATTTGGGGATGTTACAAAGGAATGGTGGCTAGAGGCAGGGAGGGCGGGGAGCCATTCCCAACACAGCCTCCTTTAAGAGCCTTAGGTGATGATGTCATGACCCTGTGGAGAGACATCTGGGGGAGAAGGGAGTAGGAAGCCTGAGGTGTCTCACCCTCTCACCCTCCTGGTTGGTTCCTTGCTTGCCTAGGAGAGTTCGGGTCAGTGCGGGAAGCCCAGCTGAAGCAGGAAGATGGTTCCTTGGTGAAAGTGGCAGTGAAGATGCTGAAGGGTGAGTTAGACAATTTGTTGCCAGTTGTGGGGGAGGGGTAAAGGGAGGAACAGATCCTAGCGGGCTGCAGTCTGGCCTGAGATTTCCCAAGAACCTAGTCAGCACTAGCAGGATGCTGACTGCAGCACGTGAATAATTCAAAGGCACAAGCCCACACACAGAGTCGTGCCCTAGCCTTGCTCTGTGCCGTGAGTGGTGACAGTCCTCGCGGTGCACTCTTGTGATTACAGCTGTGCTCGGTAGAGCTCATGGGCTGTCAAAACCAAAGGGAGCTGTCAGTAATCTCTACACTGGAGAGGCAGAGGCAGGGAGTGTTAGAAGTTTGAGGCCAGCCTGGGCTACATAGTGAGTTCCAAGTCAGCTTGTGAGACCTAAAAGAAAGGTCTAAGAACTCAAGCCTGGAGTGGTAATTCAGTGCTTGTAAGGCAGAAGGATCACAAGTTTGAATCGAGGCTGGACTGCAATCTCCTCAAAGAAACAAATGAGAAAAAAGTGAACAGGAAAACATTAGCAGGCAGAGAAAATGTTGAAAAGCACCATTTCCCTGGCCCCCTGTGACACCCAGGACTTTGGAAGGACCCGTCTTAGGAGCCTTGGGAGGGTGTGGCATGCATCTTCTTCCATTCCTCCCCCTTCCTTTTTCCTAGCTGACATCATTGCCTCAAGCGACATAGAAGAGTTCCTCAGAGAAGCAGCTTGCATGAAGGAGTTTGACCATCCACACGTGGCCAAGCTTGTTGGTGAGCCCAAGTGGAGGAGGCAGATATAGAATAGGGCTAAAAATATGCTCCACCAACGTGAGAGGGCAGCCTGGAGGAGAGGAGTTTGGATACCCAGTGAGCAAGCAGGGAGTGAGTGAGGTCCTGTCTGAAATCTGTGAGGAGCTTAGCTCAAAACTGCTCATGTGGGTGGAGGAGAGACAGAGGAATGTACCCAGGAGCAAGGAACAGCAGGCAGAGCCCTTCATGGGTACCCAGGCAGAAGCAAAAGTATGGTGGTGAAAGAGACTACAGCCAAGGACTTGATGGAAGCCAGCAGGTAGGGCCTGAGGCAGATACCTAGCTGTCCTTAAGCTTTTATGTGCCCAGTTCCTGACTCTCCCTTGTCTCCCAGGGGTGAGCCTCCGGAGCAGGGCTAAAGGTCGCCTCCCCATTCCCATGGTCATCCTGCCCTTCATGAAGCACGGAGACTTGCATGCCTTTCTGCTCGCCTCCCGAATTGGGGAGAACCCTTTTGTGAGTGCCTCAGATGGGGGTGTCCAGGAGGAAATGGGTGGGAGAATGATGCCTGGAAAAGGGACAAAGAACCTGGGGGAGAAGAGGCTTGGTGGGCAGGACTCAGAGAGTGGTCAGAGCCCAACTGTGTTTAACCTGGCTTCCTTTTCCCTCGAAGCCCTGCTGAGAATTTTGGGTCAGGCAAAGACATTTTTGGGAAGAAGACATTTGATTCTTTAGCTCTTTCTCAGGCTTTGACAACGCTTCCTTGGAAGGTCCTTGGTCCCTGTCTCGATGTCAGTGATTCTTAAGATAGTCTTTAGGTTTTCTGGCCAGGGAACCTCATTCTTTGTGCCTCCGAGGACTGGGAAGGTCCAACCTGAGCTTGCTCTGTCTGCCTACCAGAACCTGCCCCTCCAGACTCTGGTCCGGTTCATGGTGGACATTGCCTGTGGCATGGAGTACCTGAGCTCCCGGAACTTCATCCACCGAGACCTGGCAGCTCGAAATTGCATGTAGGAATTCTGGTGGCCTGGTGGGTGTGAGATAGCCAGTACCTCCTGGCACTTGCTGATGTCACCCCCTGCCTTGGATGGAACCTCCTATGCATGGGGATAGCCTGGCTTTAGTTAGTCTGTGAACACGGGAAAGACTGCCTTTCACTACCCCTTTTCAGGCTGGCGGAGGACATGACAGTGTGTGTGGCTGACTTTGGACTCTCCCGGAAAATCTACAGTGGGGACTATTATCGTCAGGGCTGTGCCTCCAAATTGCCTGTGAAGTGGCTGGCCCTGGAGAGCTTGGCTGACAACTTGTATACAGTATACAGCGATGTGGTGAGCTGGGTGGCACCATGGGGCTTGGTAATGTGAATAGGGTGGATTAGTGTGTGGGTGGATCTGCAGGACCCAAAGGGGTTCAACAAAGCTCTGCTCTCTGAGCTTTGATTACCTCGTTATAAGACCCTAGAATCCCAAAATCTGGCTCTGCTTAGCTCAGGAAACCTGGTAACACTCTCCTCCAACCCTGATTCTATACCAGTGGGCCTTCGGGGTGACCATGTGGGAAATCATGACTCGTGGGCAGACGCCATATGCTGGCATCGAAAATGCTGAGATTTACAACTACCTCATCGGCGGGAACCGCCTGAAGCAGCCTCCGGAGTGTATGGAGGAAGTGTGAGTATCTTGGGTAGAGGGTTATGGAAAGAGCTTTGGCTCATGGCTGCTACTATAGCTGCTATCCAGGATGAGCTCAGACTGGACTTATGTTAGCCCTTCTTTTGGTCCTTTTAGTTAAGAGTTAAGACTCTTAAGAGACTTAAGAGAAAGAAAACTCCCTGTTTTCTTTCTCCCTTTCTCATCCCCACACCTTGTCTCTCCTGGGAGGGGGAATTTTGAGACAGTTTCATTAGGCAGCGTAGGTAGGCCTCAAACTATGAATTCCCTTTGCCTCCATCTCCAGAATGCTGGAGTCACAGCCATGAACCACCATGCCTGGCTCCTACCCTACATTTCTTGCTCCAGGCTTTTCCTGTTTCTAGTTTGTAGGAAGAATCGGGAACCATAAAAGGCAGAGGACAGTCTGAGCAGCAGTGCAGTATCCTTGTCACTTAATGGGAACCCAGCTAGCCTGGACACCTAGCTCTAGCCCTGGGCCCCTTCACACAGGGATGCACGGGGCACCAGGAAAAAGAAGCGTCCCCTGACTGACTGTCTTTTCTTGGCCAGGACAAAGTGGGGCCTGGTCTTCTTTCTTGGTCTTGGCGTCCTCTTGAAGGAGAGGACCTGAGATCCTGGGAAGAAGGAAACTGATTCCTTTCTTTGCTGCAAGCCTAAAGTACCACAAGCAGGGCGGGACTCCGAATATAGTGTAAACAAACACTTGTGACAAGATGACATAATTGTCACTGACCTTAGCTGGGCCCACAAGGTATTCTTCCAGGCAATCTTTCTCCAGCCCTATAAGGAAAAGGCCTATTATCTCCATTTTGTGAATGAGGAAATAGGATTAAAGTGGCTAAGTAACATGGCCAAGGTCACACAGCTATTATGTGATTAAGTTGATACTTGAACCTAGATCCTTGTGGCTTTAGAGTTCATGTTCTCAACCATGAAATCAACTGTTTAGTCACTCTCTGACCCCCTTCAAGATAGAGTGGTCCAGGAGAGTGAATACATGTTCCTTTGTTCCACGTAGCTTTGGAGTGAGACCTTCAGAGTGCCCCAGCCATGAACAGGTGGAGGAAAGTGAGCCTGAATGGTGGTCTCCTCTCAGGCAGTGGATTTAAAGTGCCTGGAGCCTGGCACCAAAAGAAAAATTTTAAAGTCATTAATCCCAGTGCTCAGGAGGCAGAGACAGGTGGATCTCCATGAGTTTAAGGTCAGCCTAGTCTACAAATCAAGTTGCAGGACAGCCAGGGCTGTTACACAGAGAAACCCTGTCTAGGGACAAGCAAAACAAAACAGTTACTTATTTTGGTGATGGGAATAGAAGTCGGGCTGCATTTGATAAGCAAGTGTTCTACCACTGTGTTACACCCCAGCCCCCACTCATACTTCAGAAGGAAGGGAGTGCAGGAGCCAGCCCTGCTGCCTGTCCATTAAGCAGTGCTTTGTTAGGATTGAAAGCTTGGGTCTCCTTGTGGTTGTATCCAGCCTCAGCTCTTCTCTAGAGCTGCAGAAGCTGAGCTCTGGGGAGCAGTAGAGACAGACCCTGGCTCAGCCTTCTCCCAGACTGGAGCTGCTGTTGTCAATGAAGGGTGGGCGGACACTGGCCTCCCACCAGGCAGCCTGGAAGAAAGGTGCCAGTTGGCTTCTAGCACAGCCTGGAGAATATGTCCCAGTCTGGCCATATACCCGTAGTTCTGGACCATTCCCACAGCCGGCCTGGGGTCTGGCACGATTCTTCCTGCCATTGGGGCCTCTATTGGGAGGGCTCTTTTGTGAGACAGTACTTGGGGCCTTTGCCATACACAAGAGTCAGGCACTGCTGATTGCATTTTGTCTTAGGCCTTTCTCGGGAGAGATGGAGTGTGTGTGTGTGTGTGTGTGTGTCCATCCATCCGTGTCCATCTGTCCTTGGAAGCAGGGAAAGCTATAGGAGAATCTGTAAAGCTAGTGAAATAAGTGCAGGGTGGGGTATTCCTGACAGAGGAAGAGGGCTGGAAGCTGTTCTGAAAATGTAAGCGTACACGAGTGGGTTCTGCCTCTTGTGGACTTGGAACAAAAAGGAGAATGTACAAGCCTACCCCCTAAAAAGATAAACCTAAGTCCAGGGTCTGGGATATGGTAGCTCAGTGATAGAGTTCTTGCTTAGTATACACGAGGCCCAGGGTCTTCTGTGCCACAGAACAAAAACCAGGGGATGGTCATGACTCCAGGCTTCTGTGTAAGTCAGAAGTACTTGTATTTTACTATCATAGCTCAGTGACTTTGGGGAATTTGAGACAGGTTCTTACTTATCCTAGACCAGACTTGGCTATGTAGCCAAGGTCTACGTTAAACTTCAGATCCTCCTGCCTCCAACTCCCAGCCAGGCCTTTGTGCATACCGGGCAAGCATCCTACCAACTGAACTGCATCCCTAGTCCTGCCTGTCTTTTATTTTTTTGAAACAGGACTTTACTCTGCAGCTTTAGTATGCCTCATACTCACGGTATCTTAAGCCCATCTCAAACTGCATCTACCTCTGAGTGCTGGGTTACAGGTACTTTCTACCAGCTCTGGTACTTTCTACCTACGTGGCTTTATTAAGGATTGTTTTTCTTTTTGGTCTTTTGAGACAGGGTTTCTCTGTGTAACAATCTTGGCTGTCCTGGATTACTCTGTAGACCAGGCTGGCCTTGAGTTCACAGATTAAAGGTGTGTGCCACCACTGCCTGGCTCAAGGATTTTTTTTAAAGGTTTATTTTTGTTATGTTTTTAATTGTGTGGCTACCTGTCTGAGTGTGAGTGTATGGATGTGAGTGCTGGTATCTAAGAAGTCCAGAGATGTCAGAGCCCCCTAAAGCTGGAGTTACAGGTGCTTATGAGCTACCTGACATGGGTGCTGAGAACTGAACTTGATTCCTCTCCAAAAGCAGTGGTCACTCTTTAACTGTTGAGCCATCTCTCCAGCCTATAGTCAAGGTGCTTAATTTCTCCATGCTTCAATTTTTATGTTTTCAGAACAGGAACTGTTCAACGTAAGGCTGGCAAGACAGCTCAGCTGGTAAAGATGCTTGCTGCCAAGCCTAGACAACCTGAGTTTAATTCCAGCACCCACATGGAGAAAGCCAGTCCGAAACTTGTCCTTTGATTTATACATGTATGCTGTAACACATGTATATGAGTTCGTGAGCATGTGCACATTTATACACTAAATACATGTAATCTTAACCTGATGCATAGTAAGCTTTCTACCCTAGCGCTGAAGAACTATTTCCTACCTTAGTGTCACATGACTAAGAGGCCGTGGCCTCTTCTCACTCCTCTTTCTACCCCAGGTATGATCTCATGTACCAGTGCTGGAGCGCCGACCCAAAGCAGCGCCCAAGCTTCACATGTCTGCGAATGGAACTGGAGAACATTCTGGGCCACCTGTCTGTGTTGTCCACCAGCCAGGACCCCTTGTACATTAACATTGAGAGAGCTGAGCAGCCTACTGAGAGAGGCAGTCCTGAGCTGCCCTGTGGAGAGCAGCCTAGCAGCGAGGCAGGGGATGGCAGTGGTATAGGGGCAGTAGGTGGCATCCCCAATGACTGTCGATACATCTTCAGCCCCGGAGAGCTGACTGAGTCACCTGGGCAGTCGGAGCAGCAGCCAGAAAGCCCCCTCAACGAGACCCAGAGGCTGCTGCTGCTGCAGCAAGGGCTACTGCCTCACAGTAGCTGTTAACCCGCAGGCAGAGGACAGCTGGGGCCATCCACCTGACTCTGCTGGCCACTAAGCCCAGCCTGATCACAGCCCAGGCAGCAAGGTATGGAGGCTCCTGTGGTAGCCCTCCCAAGCTGTGCTGGCACCTGGACTGACCAAATTGCCCAATCCCAGTTCTTCCTGAAGCCACTCTGGCCAGCCTGGCATCAGTTCAGGCCTTGGTTTAGAGGTGAGCTAGAGCTGGTTGTCTGAATGCAGGCAGCTGGCAGGGGTGGTGGTGGTGGTAGCTGTGTTTCCATGGGTACCATGGGTGTGGATGCAATAGGGGAGGGTAGCAACAGCCCTGTGGGCCCCTACCCTCCTGGCTGAGCTGCTCCTACTTCTAGTGCATGCTTGGAGCTGCCTACAGCCTGGAGGCACATCAGTGCCCACCACACTTGGGTTTAAATGCTAGATTTGCCCCTCCAAGTCACAAAGAGATGTCCTTGTATTGTTCACTTTTAGGTGACAGGAAGGGATTGGCATACTCGGGTCCCAAGGCCCTGTGGCAGGAGATGGTGGGATATTCTCAGGTCTGAATCCTCATCACCTTCCTGTTCCCCACCCTGCCAAGGCCTGGAACTGGCTGGGCACCTCTGAGGCATGCGGGACAAAAGGCTCCAGAGACCTGACTTCTAAAGGCAGGGCTTTCTGAGCCTGGCAGACGGAGGGGCGCTGAGGGGCTTGCCCGGAAGTGAGCAAAGCTGTTCAGGACCCCTCCAAGCTTCCCACAGTCTGTCGAGCATGCTACCAAGTTCCCAAGTATCCCGAAAACTAACAGAGGCAGTTTTGTCTAAGCCCAGCCCTTCTACATGGTGACCCTTAGGTCCACCTTCCTCTAAATGGACATCTTCTTTTGTCCCAAGTCTCCAGAGAGAAATAAGCCTGATGGTTGATGTGGATGAGAGAATATCTGGAGCCAGGGCTGGGGTCTAGGCTCCAGGAACGTCCTGGAATGCATGGAGTAGGCCCTTGCTGTTAGGAACATTTCTAAGCTATTAAGTTGCTGTTTCAAAACAAATAAAATTGAAAACTAAAGAATCAGAGTTTTATTTTTAAAATTATTATTAATACCGGTTATGTTTTTGTTTTGGGTTTTTGTTGAGACAGGGTCTTTCCTAGGTATCCCTAGCTGGCCTGGAACTCAGACCTGCCTTGTCCTTCTGAGTGCTGGGATTAAATTACTGTGCTATCACACTCAACCTAAGGCTTTGTCTTCAAATGTTTACATTTTTTCTCCCTTCTAGTTCAGGAAACAATGAAGCATCTCTGCACAGAGAAAAGATTGGAAAGATATGCCAAAGTGTAGACAGCTGTTATCTTTACATGATATGATTAAGAAAGCCTTCCTCTCCCCTTTCTTAATTTTTTTTTAAAAACACAATATGCTTCTCCTTAGCAGATTAGACCCAGTAACTCCACATTAAAGATAATACATTGACACTCTAGGCAGATGCAGAATGCCTGTAATCCTGATGCCTAAGGGTAATAACCCCCACTAGGCTCTGGAAAATGCAAACAATTTTGACATCTAAGTTGGAACAGAGGCTGTTCTCTCCACCCTGTCAAGCATTTCCTTAGGCCCTTCCTCATCTCTTCATTCCTGCCAAGAACCTGAGAATCAGTGGTCAAAGAAAGGTGAACCCTTGAGGATTAGAAATACCAGAAACAATTCGTCTCAGTATTTCCACCTGCAACCTAGTTTCAGAGTGAGCCCTGGCATTGTGCAATAGGAGCAGGCTTCTGCTGGGGTGGAGGGAAATTAGGAGAGGCAGAGTGCCACAGCCCTGCTGGCTGAGGGCAATGGAATGAACCTTCCTGGAGCAGGTATCCTGAAAAACCTGTTGCTGGCTCTAAAGGTCTTGGTTCCCACATAGCTTATGAGAACTGAATTCAATTCCATGCAAATAGCTTTTCAAATACCTCATGCCCTGATTAGTTTTAACTGGAGGTGGTGATTAACTGTGAGATAATATTGGGAATTGACCAGAAGGCCCTCTCAAGTAATTGTCTGCAGGGAGCCTGTGACTAGGTTCATCTAATAAAGTGTTTCTAGAAGCGGAAATTTAACCTCCATCCTCTAGTACTGAAGAGAAGCAGAGGATACGATACACTAGAGTAAAATAAACAGGGAGGTTAGCTGGGTGACAACTTCCTAGCACCCCTGAGACCACCTTTAAACTGGTAAGTTGGTTTTTTTTTTCTAATTAAAAAAAAGTTATAAGACAGGCAGTGACCTTTGATCCCAGCATTTGATCAGCACTTGAGAAGCAGAGGCAGGCAGATCTCTGAGTTTGAGGCCAACTTGATCTTGAGTTTCAGGACAGCCAGGGCTACACAGAGAAACCCTGTCCTGGAGAGGGAAAAAAAAATTGTTAGTATGTTCTGTTTAAATATTGAGAGAGAGAGTATACGTATGTCTGTCTGCACAGGAGGTCAGAGGACAATATGCAGAAGTCAGTACTCTCCTTCCTCCTCGTGGGTCCAGGTATCAAACTCAGGTTATCAGGTTTGATGGCAGACACATTTGACCACTGAGCTTACCAGCCCTTAATATTTGTTACTACACTGTGTATGTGTATGAAGTCTGTTCTCTTCCACCATGTGGATCCCAGAAAAAAACAATCTATTTGAACTATTCGACCACACTTTCCAGCCCTATTTATTATTTATTTTTGTTTGTTTTATTTGTGACAGGATTTCTGTATGTAGCCTTGGCTGACCTGGAACTCCCTGTGTAGACTAGGCTGGCCTTGAATTTACAGAGATCTGCTGCCTCCTGAGTGCTGGGATTAAAGGTGTGTATCCACAATACTGGGTATTTATACTTACAATTTATTTTATTTGTTTGTGTGTTTTCTGTGTAACCCTGGCTGTCCTGTAACTCATTCTGTAGACAGGTCTGGACTCAAATTCAGCAATCTACCTGCTTCTGCTTCCTGAGTGCTGGGATTAAAGGTGTGCCATCTCCTTTTTCTTAATCTCTTGGGTTTTGGGTTTTTGGTGTTTTGTTTTGAGACAGTGTCTCTTTGATTCTGAACTGAGCCTGGAACTCACTATGTAGTCCAGGCTGGCCTGGCCTACATTTGCTGTGACACTCCAAGAGTCCTGGGATTACAGGTATATGCCACTGTGCTAGACAACAGTGGAATCACAAAACTCAGGGCCTTACTCATACTAGTGAGCATCCTACCACTGAGCAGCACCTCCCACCCTACAATGAGCCTTCAAACCCTTATTTATTGAAGTATAAGGCAGAAAGTACTTAGTCCTCAAGGATTTTTACAGACCCCCAACAGCAAGCAGTCAGATCAGAAAACAATATTCCCAGCACCCAAAAGCCACCCTTGGGATCTGTTCCAGTCTCTCATCTTCCCTTCTGTTCCTCAGAAGCAATCTCTAGCCTGGCAGGTCCTTGCCTGGGACTAATGCAGCTTTTCTTGAATGTGTATCCAAGGCAAAATGATTTTGCATTTGGCTTTTTTTTTTTTTTTAAGTTTGGTTTTTTGTTTTTGTTTTCCCTCTCTGTGTCCCTTAATTTATTTGTCATCATCCCCTCCTTCTCCTTCCTTTCTTCCTTTTTGTACTTCCAGGGACCAAGCCCAAGGTATGATACATACTAGGCATGTACTCTGTCACAGAGTACTTCTAGCACCAGCAAATAAATAACAGCAAAATGTGTTTTTAACAGCCTTGCAATGTAGCACAGTGAGGCCTTGGTCTCCATTCCCAGCAGGCTCCTGAGAGCTAGGGTCACACTGTACCACAGGCCCTCCTCATTCCAGCAACTTTTAGGAGTTTGGGACCAAAGGGGAAAGGTGGTTTTGTTTGTTTGTTTTTGAAGTGTGTGTTTGTGTGTGTGTGTGTAGGCTATCTGTCTTCCTCTATAACTCTCCACCTTACTTTTTGACACCAGAGTAGCTTATAGAGCCAACTAGTCTGTATAGCTAATGAGCTTGTCTCCACATCCTGTCCCTACCACTAAGGCTACAAGATACACTCATGCCTAGGATTTAGGCACTTCACACACTAAATCATCTCCCTAGCCCTTGTTTTTCTTTTAAACTTGTCCTTTAGTGCATAGGTCAGGTCTCACTGTGCAGCCCTAGCTGGCCTGGAACTTATGGATCTCTACCTGACTCTGACCCCTGAGTGCTGGGATCAAAGGTGTACACCACAGCTGGCCTGCTTCTCATAGTTTTGAAATAATTATCTCCCAGACAAATCATCTCAGAGACTTGTCAAAATGTAGTCTTCCATCATGAAGGTCTGAGGTAGGCCAAGATCTACCTTTTGATTTCTTTTTCTCTTTTACTTCCTTCCTTTTGCTTTTGGAACAGGGTCTCACTGTGTTGCTCCAGCTTACCTGGAACTCAGTATGTGGTTCAGGCTGGCCTCAAACTTACAGAGATCCACCTGCCTTTGTTTCCCAAAGCTGGACGTAAAATCCTGTGCCACCACAAAACAGCGTTTTCTTCCTTGCTCTTTAAAAATCTTTTTCTTTTCTTAACAAACTCTGACTATGTAGCCCAGGCTGCTCTCAAACTTGAAATCTTGCTAACTCCACCTCCCATTTGCTGGGAGACAGGGTTTCTCTGTGTAGCCTTGTAGACCAGGCTGGCCTCAAACTCACAGATCTGCCTTTGCCTCCATAGTGCTGGGGTTAAAGGCATGCACTACCATCACCCAGCTAGTCTCTGTTTCTAACATGCTCACCACTCACTGTGGCTGCTGCTGCTGGGAAAAACCACAATGAAGACTAATTCCAGGGGGCTGGAGAGATGGCTCAGCAGTTAGGAACACTGGCTGCTCTTCCAAAGGTCCTGAGTTCAATTCCCAGTACCACATAGTGACTCACAACCATCTCTAATGAAATTTGGTCACCTCTTCTGGCCTTCAGGCATACATGCAGCTAGAACATGGTATAAATAAATCTTTAAAAATTTTCAGGATTCCAAAACGTACAGTGAGATTTTAAAAAAAGACTTTACATGACTACAATATACAATCACTTAGCAATGTAATACAAATGGAAAAGATGGAAACAATTGAATCTCTGTTATTAAAATTTTAATGAATTTTTCTTTTTTTTAAAAAAGGTTATTTATTATGAATAAAGTATTCTGCCTACATGTGTCTGCATGCCAGAAGAGGCCATCAAATCTTGTTATAGATGGTTGTGAGCAACCATGTGGTTGCTGGGAATTGAACTCAAGACCTCTAGAAGAGCAGCCAGTGCTCTTAACCTCTGAGCCATCTCTCCAGCTCCGAATTTTTATTTTCTTATTATATTATTTTAACATTTATTTATTATTTGCATATTGCAGAAAGGCTTGAGTTTGAGTCCCAGCACAGGTAGTCCACAAGAACTTGTAACCTTAGCTCCAGGGGAGATACTAGGCCCCTGGTGTCCTAAGGCAACTTACTCACATACACAAACCACATACAATAAAAATGATATATTAAGGGGCTGGAGAGATGGCCCAGTTGTTCAGAGCACCAACTGTTCTTCTAGAAGTTCTGGGTTCAATTCCCAGCACATTACAGCTCATAACCAAATCTGTAACTCCAATTCCAGAGGATCCAACATCCTCTTCTGGCCTCTATGGGTGCCTGGCATACATGTGATACACAGACGTACATGTGTACACATAAAATTAAGTTAAAGTGCCAGGAAGACCCATAGTGACCCTGGGCCTGTCCCCACCCCCCACCCCCAGCTTGCTGAGCCTGGGAACTTCTGACTGCCAGGACTGGGAGGTTATGTTGGAGCCATTTCAGGAGCTGGGTCACACACGGGGTCACATGTGGCTTCTCTTCTCCCGGGCCTTGGCAGGGAAAGGCTCTGCTGGGTTGGAGGGGACACCATCGCCTTTGTCCCCAGTGTGGCAAACCTCCAGCTGTGAGAGGAGCAGGCACCCAGGCGACAGAACAGTACTTCAGGCGTCAGGAGAGGTGACTAACGGGCACCCAAGCATTTCCAAGTCACCTCAGTCAAGTTTTTCAACCTGCCACTGAAGACCAGATACTCCTTTGCTAAAGCTGTCTGAGTTTGCCTCCTCTGGTGGTTAAATTTATCCCAAGCACGACTTGATAGAGAGGAATACAAAAGAGCTTGAGCTCCAGTTCTTATGCCCAAAGGTCCACGGTCATGGTAACAGCTGAAGTCTGCCTGCACCTGGAGGCAGGGACACAGGAAGACTGGTGCTCAGTCCTAGTTAGACCGGTGGTCAGGTGATCAAGGTCGTCCTTAGGCGTACAGCAAGTTCAAGACCAGTCTGGACTACATGAGACCCTGTCTCAAACCAAACCAACCAACCCCAAATAAGATGGGCCTAGTGGCACAGGACTATAGTATCAGCTACTCAGCACAGGAAACTCAAGGCCTTCTTGGTCTTCAAAGTCAGCATGGCTATCCTGTCTCAAAATAATAAATAAAATTGAAGAGAGAGAAGGAGAGAGAGAGAGAAAGAAAACAATACCATGTTGCTCAGGTTCAAGTAAGTCTTCAGTTTATCAGGCAGCAAGGGCTACAGGCATGAACTACAGCACCCACCCACAACACCCTAGCGTCTACAGTACCCACCTAACACCCTAGTACCAACAGTACCTACCACAACATCCTAGTACCCACAGCACTCACCGAACACCCAGCACCTACAGCACCCACCCAACACCCTAGTACCCATAGTACCCACCCTAACACCCAACACTCACAGCACCTTCCCCAACACCCTAGTACCAACACTATCTACCCCAACACCCTAGTATCCACAGCACCTACCCCAACACCCAGCACCTACAGTACCTACCCCAACACCCTAGTACCCACAGCACCTACTCCAACACCCAGCACCCATAGCACCTACCTCAACACCCTAGAGATGTTCTAGAGCAGCAGACCTTGCTACTCCATAGTCTCAGTTCAAGTTAATATTTTCAGATGTTTCAAATTTTAAGTGCAATGGATGTGAATGGCATTCTTGATTACTGGTGATCGAGTATTGGGATGTTTATGGGAGACTGGATATGGTTATGATTTTCTACAGCTTTTGCTCATTTTTTGTATTGACGTTAGGAATTTGTTAAACATTTTGAGCCAGTTGTATCTCAGTTTTATGACAGACAAATCTTCTGGTTGTGGCTTGTTTCTTTCTTTGCTTTTTGACTCTATTTTTGAGACATGATCTTACTTTATACCCCAGGTTGTTCTGTTACTCACTGTAAAGCACATGGGTTATTCCCCTTCCTCAGCCTGCCAAGCACTGGGATTACAGGCATGAAACACGAACCATCCTGTCCTTTTTTTCTTTGACATGACATTGTATATCCCACCCAGGCTGGCCTCAAACCTGCTATGTAGTCCAAGATGGCCTCAAACTTCCAGTTTTCTTGCCTCTACCTGTTACCAGTTGATGGCTTTACAGGTCTATGTCACCATGTCTGGTTTATGTGGTATAGGTGCTCAAAGCCAAGGGTTTGTGCATGCTAAGCAAGTGGCCTACCAACTGAGCTTCATCCTTAGCTCATCATCATTATTATCATCATCATCGTTTTGATTTTTTTAGACAGGGTTTCTCTGTGTAGCTTTGTAGACCAGGCTGGCCTCCAACTCACAGAAATCTGCCTGCCTCTGCCTCCCCAGTGCTGGGATGAAAGGTGGGGGCCACCACAACCTGGCTTCATCCCTATGTAATCTTTCTTAATACTTTCAATTACAATGTAGCCAAACATATTTTTATTTATTTGTTTTTGTTTTAAGATTTATTATCTATATAGTGCAGGTCAGAAGAGGGCGCCAGATCCCATTAAAGATGGTTGTGAGCAATCATGTGGTTCCTGAGAATTGAACTCAGGACCCTGGGAAGAGCAGTCTGTGCTCTTAATTTTTGAGCCATCTCTCCAGCCCTATTTTTGTTTTTCAAGACAGAGTTTCTCTGTATTGCTTTGGAACCTGTCCTGGAACTTGCTCTGTAGGCCAGAGTGTCCTCGAACTCACAGAGTCTACCTGCCTCTGCCTCTCCAGTGCTGGATTAAAGGTGAGTGCCACCACCACCCAGCGCCAAACATTTTTTTATATATACTTGTAACAGGGTCTCTTGTAGTTCAGGCTAGTCTTGAATTTGCTATGTAGACAAGAATGACCTTTGAAATACTTTTGGAAAAAAATTGGAGAGCCTTATGATTTTTTTTAATGTTATGTATAGCAGTGTTTTGCATACAAGTATATAAGTGCATCATGTGTGTGCCTGGTGACTGCAGAGGCTAGAAGAGGGCATCAGGTCCTGTGGGACTGAAGTTACAGACAGCTGTGAGATACCCTATGGGTGCTGGGGATTGAACCTGGGTTCTCTCGAAGAGCAACCAGTGCTCTTAATGCTGAGCCATCTCTCCAGCCTATTTGTATTAATTGTGTGCATGTGTACACTGTGAAGTCAGAATACAACCTTTTGAGAGTCAGTTCTCTCCTACTATGTGGGACTCAGAGACTGAACTCAGAATTCAGGTCATCAGGAGTGGTAGTAAGTGCTTTAACAAGCTGAGCCATCTTGCCAGCCTCCTGAGGTCAAAGTTTTTATCTTAAATCTTATTTGGGCATGGTATGAGGCAAGTCCATTCCTTGTAAGTGGTTCACAAGTACAGTCTCAGCACTTGGATGACTGAGGCAGGGGAACAACTGTGAGTTACAGGCTAGCCTAGACTATAGAGTGAGACCCTGTCTCAAACCAAAGCAAACAAAAACCTTGATATGTCATTATGTTTATGTTTCCTTATTGCAGCACCACTTTCTGACCAGACAAGGTCACGTTCACTAAAAAAGAAAAAAGTATAAAGGCTGGGGTTGGTAGTGAAATATTTATCTTACACTCACATGCATTTGAGTTTAACCTCTAGAACACATAGAAACATGCTGGGGCATTTTGGCCCATAATTGTAATCCTAGCATTGGGGAGACAGACAGATAGATCCCTGGAGCTTGCTGGTCATCACTCTAGTGTAATTGATGAACTTTAGGTCAGTGACAGACCCTGTCTCAAAGGAGGTGGAGTTCCTGGTCTTCATATACATGCTATTTGTATATGTTTACACACACACACACACACACACACACACACACACACACACACACACACACAAATTACCAACTTCCTGGCCTCGGTGGCTCACACTTTTAATCTCAGCACTCAGGAGGCAGAGGCAAGTGGATCTCTGCGAGTTCGAGGCCAGCCTGGTCTACAGGACACCTCCAAAGCAATACAGAGAAACAAACAAACAAACACAAAACCAAAAAAAAAAACAAAACAACAAACAACAACAACAAAAAATTACCATCAGATGGTGGTGTCACACACCTTTAATCCCAGCACTCAGGAGGCAGAGGTGGGCAAATATCTGAGTTTAAGGCCAGCCTGGTCTACAGAGCGGGTTCCAGGACAGCCTCTAAAGCAATACAGAGAAACCCTGTCTCTCGAAAAACCAGACCAAAACAAAACAAAATACCAAGACCAAACAAACAAACAAAAATTCTGAGTTTAGGGCCAGCCTGGTATTACAAGTTCCAAGTTGGTCAGGACTATGAAGAGAAGCCCTGCATGGTGGTCTGGAAGAAAATGGCCCCGAAAAGAGGTGACACTATTAGGAGGTGTGACCTTGTTGGAATAGGTCTGGTCTTGTTGGAGGAAGTGTGTCATTGTGGAGGAGGGCTTTAGGATCTCATATTTGCTCAAGCCACACCCAGTAAGACAGTCTACTTCCTGCTGCCTGCATATCAACATGGAGTAGCTACCTCTCTAGTGCTATATCTCACCATGATGACAATACACCAAACATCTGAATTGTAATCAAGCCACTACAATTAAATGTTTTCTTTGTAAGAATTGTCATGGTCATGGTATCTCTTCACAGCAGTAGAAACCCTAAGACACCCTGTCTTGAAAAACAAGCATAAACACACACACACACACACACACACACACACACACACACACACACACACAAATTATAAACAAACCATTAACTATAGGCTGTGGGTAGGTGAGTATACAGAGTTGGAGAGAGTCCTGCAGGGGAACAGTAATTAGCAGGACCCAAACAAAATTTTTCCGGGCTCAGACATTAGCTAGCTCTGCTGGCCCAGGCTAATCTTAGGCTTCAGAGGAGTATTTAGTCTACAGAAGGTGTTCTTGTCATCAAGACTACTATGGGGTTTGGTTGTCTGAGATTCCCTGACTTTATAGCATTTTGATGCCACCCATTTATAGACATCCAAAACATGGAGCTCACTGAGGTCCAGGACCCGAGGCAGGAGCCTATCTGTCAGCTTTAAAAACACCCCAAGGAACAAGTCCATTTCTCTAATCCTCCCTTTCCTCCTGCCCTACAAGAGGACTTTAAACTGAGTATCCAGCTGCTCCTGACCATTTATCACATTCAACACCACCCTAGGCCTGGGGAAGAGGTTAGTGTATATAGGCCAGGGGAGATTGCAGGAGAAGGTCTCCATCTATGTGGTTATGGGAAAGCCCTCATCCCTGCTGGTTAAAGATTTTCCAGTGTGGCTTTTTGGGGGCTGGGAGTACCAACACCTCTGTAGGTAATTCCACAATAAACATAGGTTTGTAACTTAGGAGAAGGGGTAGACATTGTTTACGTTATGTTCCCTGCCTCCCCCAGAAGGACATCCTTGAACTTCTGATCCTCTGCCTCTTGCTTTCATCAGTACAAGAATTTTGTCAGTATCATAAAACTGGCTCTCCTTTTGTGATATTCTTTTTTTTAAAAAAATATATTTGATGATTATTTTTAATGATTTTTTATTTTGTTTGCATTCATGTTTTGCCTGCATATATATATCTGTGTGTAGGTGTTGGATCCCAGGAACTGGAGTCAGAGACAATTGTGAGCTGCCATGTGGGTGCTGGGAATTGAACCAAGGTCCTCTGAAAGAGTAGTCAGTGCTTTTAACCACTGAGCCACCTCTCCAACTCCTGTAATATTTATTTATTTATTTATTTATTTATTTATTTATTTATTTATTGGCAGTTCTCCAACTTTGTTTGACATTTAGCGGGTTAGTTCTCATCCATAGACTGTCTGGATATTTTTGATTGTGGTAACAGGCACGTATGTTACCAATGTGTGGAGCTTGTTTGGTGAGTTCTCATCCTTGTTACATTTTCTGAACAACAACAACAACAACAAAAAAAAAAACCATACACAGATATGGCATGGAACATTCCTTATTCCTTCGGCCCAGACGGCTCTATTGAACCTGATATTGATGTGTATATCTGGAGTTCCCATCTCCTTCATGGCAAATGTCTGGATTTCTTTGAGTGCCCAAGGAGCACGCTTCTTGCAGCCCATGCCACGGATGAGTTTGTAAATGTTGACGGTGTATTCTTGGGTCACCACCTTGTTGATGGCTGAACGTTCCTTCTGGCCACCCTTCTTTTTGAGAGCCATTCTGCCAGGCCCAAGTTGGAAAGCTATTTATTTACTTTTTATTGTATGCATATGAATGTTTGCCTTTTGTGTGATACTATGGGTGTGGTACTATGTATGTGTCTGGTGTCTGAGATGCCCTCAGGGCATTGGGTTGCCTAGAATTGTAGTTACTGATAGTTGTAAGCCAACATGTGGGTGCTGGGACTCAAGCCCAAGCCCCCTGAAAGAGTAGCCAGTGTCTTACCTGCTGAGGCCCCTCTCCAGCCCTTCTTTGAATATTTTGCACATGATGCTCTAGTGGATTGGTTGTTCTGAATCAGTTCTCCCTGGTGTATATTCATGCCCTCTCAATTTGGAGTCTCAAGTTCTATACTTGTATTTTTTAGTGACTTACAAAACACAGCCTCACACCTTCAAGAATTTGCCTCTTCTAATATCTTCCCTTACTTTTTATTATTTACTTAATTACTTGCCTTGGGGGTGGGGTGCAGTTGAGGCAGGATCTCATGTTTTGGAGACTGGCTTTGAACTTCTGACCCTCTTGCCTCTACCATTAAGGTCTGTGGTTACAGTCTGTGCCACACATCTGCCTTTCCATTTGTTTGGGCCTTCTTCCTATTTGTCTCTTTGCCTTCTCCACTTTGCAGGGATTCTTGGAAGGAGTTTATTATCCTTGGGGTTTAGAATGCCCAGTCTGCTCCTCTTCATGAGATCCTTAAAAAAAAAAAAAAAAAAAAAAAAAAAAAAAAAGAAAAAAGAAAAAAGAAAACCCAAAATGTCTTCTGGATCTTGAGGTGGGGTGGGTATAAGAGAGGTTAACAGAAAACAGAGATGGACTATTTTGGAGAAAATGGACCAGCAATCAGAGGGAGGAAGATAGCAGTGAGGGAGGAACAAAGTATAATGATGTATATGTATGCAAATGTCGCAATGAAACTCCCTATTTTGCCTTTTTTTTTTAGAGATTTATTTATTTATTATGCATAGTGTTCTGCTTGCATGTGTGCCTGCAGGCCAGAAGAGGGCACCAGATCTCATTATAGATGGTTGTGAGCTGGGAATTGAACTCAGGACCTCTGGAAGAGCAGCCAGTGTTCTTAACTGCTGGGCTATCTCTCCAGTCCCAAAACACATTATTTTAAATGCTATTTTTTTTAAGGTTAAGAAAAGAATAAAAGAAGACAGTGTGACTATATAGTCCAGGCCAGAACTTACCATTTACCTGTTTCCCAAATGTTCTTGTCCTAGGGTTGGGATTTGTAGGTGAGTATGTCACCACACCTGGTACTATATTTATTTATTTGTTTGTTTTTTTAATTTTTTGAGACAGGGTTTCTCTGTGTAGCTTTGTAGACCAGGCTGGCCTCGAACTCACAGAGATCGCCAGCCTCTGTCTCCCAATTGCTGGGATTAAAGACATGTGCTACCATCACCTAGCTTGAAATCTTTATTATTTTTTTATTACATCTATTATGTAAAGATGCCATGTCAGTGTATAAATGAGATCAGAGGACATGGTCAGATGACATGATCAGAGGACCACCTTCAGGAATCAGTTCTTTCCTTGGGCCATGTGGTTCCCAGGGATGGAATTCAGGGCACTAGTCTCAGTAGCAAGCACCTTCATCTACTGAGCCAATATCTGGCTGACCCAACCACCAGCTCTTATCAAACCTCTCTGAGGTGCTGCTGCATTCATTAGATGTGTGTTGGTGATTGAGGACAGGGGAGTTCTTGCTACTTTTAAGGTTGTCCCAGAACCAAGTTCTTTCCCTTCATCAACCTAACACAGATTCCAATCCCACACAGTCCTAGCAGTTTGATGGAGTAAATCATCACATGCATGAGATTGTGGATTTTGTTTGCTTTTTGAGATGGAGTTTCTCTGCATAGCCCTGGCTGTTCTGGAACTCACTCTGTAGACCATGCTGGCTTTGAACTCATACAGATATGCTTGCTTCTGCCTCCTGAGTGTTGAGAGCTGAGATTGTAGATTTTATTGACTGTCTTACCCCAGGCTTATGGAGATGTTACCCACAGCTGGGTTTGATAGCTATTTGCACTTTGCTATCTTTATTCATTTATTTTATTTATTTACTTATGTTTACTTAGAAGTAATGGAGATTTTACCTGGAAAGGTCTCTATCCCTGAACTATATCCCCAGCTCCTTTTTCACTTTTTATTTTGAGACAAAGCTTCTCTGTAAGTTGCTAGGAAGGCCTTGAACTTTCAGTCTTCCTGCCTCAGTCTCCAGAGTAGATGGGATTATAAGCCTTGCTCACTACTAATTATGACATAGGTTATTATCATTCAATTTTTTTTCTATGTGTGGTACTAGGCATTGAACTTTGCATATGTTAAGTCACATATGTGCACATGTGTGCTGAGATCAGAGAACAATCTCAGGTATCAATCCTTAGGTGCTTGCCTCCCACCTTTGAGACAGGTACCTTGTTGGCTTGGAATGTTGTGAGTAGGCTAGACTAGTATCTTTGCCTCCTGCCTAGCCATTACCGGGATTGCAAATGCATTTCATCACACTAGAAGTTTTATGTGGATGCTTAGGATAAGACTCAGGTCTTTGCTTTTCCAACTAAGCTATCTCTACTCCTCCTATTCCCCCTCTCCCCCATTTTTTTTTTGTTTTGTTTTGAGACAGGGTCTCTCTCTATATTTCTGGCTGCCCTGGAATTTGCTGTGTGTACCAATCTGACCTTGAACTAACAGAGATCTACCTGCCTCTGCCTCCCAAGTGCTAGGATCAAAGGTATGCACCAGCTTGCCTGGCTCTCAGCCCTTGTTTTTGAGACAGAGTCTCATAAGAGTCTCCACTTGCTGTGTAACCAAGGGAGGGTGACTTTGAACTCCTGATGCTAGGATTACAGATAAGTACAGGTTTGTGCAGTGCTGAGGCTCAAACCCAGGGCTTCACCAGCACTAGGCAAGCACACAACCCTCTGAGCTACCTATTCAGTTCTAAAACTTTCCTTTTTAGACTCAACAATCGCCACCCTGGGTCATTGTCAGTGGTCTTACTCCTCCAGGTTCATTTTGTAGTGAAGAATGTCACCCCAGTACATGAGCACTGAGTGTGGCTTTAGCTCCCCTTGCCTGGAGGACTTTCTGCCCTCTGTGCCTGGTTGTCACATCCCCATCCCTATAAGGACTTGTAGCCTGGAGCTCCAGTTCTGTCCATGATTTTGTGTTTCCATTTAGTTGAAGGTCTCAGAGATGGTAATCTTGTTTTGAACTCAACACTATCATTTTGGTGGGTTCTTTTGTTTTATCTATGGTTGCTATGCAATTACTGTGGGGTGCAGTGGAGAGGACACCCAGAGAGCAACATTTCAGAGCCACCTGGTTCAGAGTATGCCAGTGAATATCCAAGAACAAGGAACTGACAAGACACTGTGAGGAGCAAATCCCAGGAAGGCTTGGCTTCTGATCTGAAGGGATTAGGAAAGAAGGTGGCTCTTGTAATGCCACTGCTTTATCCGGATCAAAATGCTTTACCAGAAGTAGTTGAAACCTGTGTGGGCCCAGAGGAGAAAGAAAGAACTTCCTGGTGAGGGGTTGGGGAAAGCTTCTCTGATGGAGTGGTTTTGAAATAGCCCCCTTAAATGGGGTGAGGTGGGGGAGAGGGCAGGTAAACAGGATCTACAGAAGGCCCAGATGGCTAGAGGTTAGTGTACAGGCTATGGATTTCTCTTGGACCTAATTACGATCTGGACCCGGCCACTCCAGAGGTGTGAGCCTGGACAATTTATTTTCTGTCGGAGACTGGGTTTCATTATAAAGATAAACACAGCATCTTCAGTTCCATAAGGTTGTGAGGATAATTAGGGGTATGCAATGGAACATGTAAAGTCATAGCAGACTCTCAATGAGGTAACTCAGTCAGTAAAGCATTTGCCTCACAAGCATGAGGTCATAAGGTCTATCCCCAGATACAAATGCCAGGTGTAAGCTGGGCAGTGGGGGATCAGCAGGAGAGGAGTCGGGGACTGGGATTGGAATGTAAGATATAAATTAATAAATTTAAAGAACACTTTAAAGAAAAGAACATTTTATGCAGCCGGGTGGTGGTGGTACATGCCTTTAATCCCAGCACTTGGGAGGTAGAGGCAGGCAGATAGGTGAATTCAAGGCCAGCCTGATCTAGAGTGAGTTCCAGGACAGCCAGGGATACACAGCCAGGGATTTTTTTCCTGTTTCAGGAAAAAATAAGAAAAGAACAAAAGAAAGAACACTTGATGCTTTTACAGAGGACCCAGGTTCAGGTTCAATTCCTAGTACCCACATGCTGGCTCACAAATAGCTGTAATGTCAGTTCTAGGAGACAGAGTCCTTTTTTGGCCTCTGAAGACACATGCATGTACACGGTGCACAGACATATATGCAGACAAAACACCCATAAAATACAACAATAAATGTATTTAAAAAAAAAAAAAGCAATGGTAGTTAGTAACTACCACCATTATAGAGGGCCTTGATTATCAAGTGTCAGCCTTTGAAAAGCTTCCTGAAACAGTTACATACAGTAACAACCTAGGCCATTTTGACTGCCACCTCCCAGTTCTGTTTCTTCCCTCTGGCAAGCTCCTGGAAAGTCACCAAGACTATAGAGCCTTTGTAGTAGGCAGAATAGTGGCCCCTGGAAGGTGTGTGTGTGTGTGTGTGTGTGTGTGTGTGTGTGTCTCAATGGTACAGCATGTGCTCAGCAGGCACATTTTCCTGGATTCAATCCCCACCACTATAAAGCGAACCCCAGCTGTCTGCTTCCTCACCTTAGGCACCTGTACCTGTAGCTATGTTAGGCTCCATCAAAAAGGGAAACAAGGCTGCAGCTGGAATGGTGATCCCATCTGCAATGGGAAGATTGTCGTCTACTCGCTGGTGGATCTCACGAGAAGAGAAAAGCAACAGAGGACTGCCAAAGAGACGGCACTGGACATCCTTCACGTTTCTGGACCTGACTCGACAGGTAGAGGGGCCTCTAGAAATATGGTTTATGCGA